GCAGCTGAATTTCATTTGGCTCTAGTTCAAAAAAACAAGCCCACAAATAGATGTATTTCGCAAACTGCTTTCAATTTGGGTTCACTTAGAATATAAGATTACCAGAAACACAATAGCCGCGCCTTTCCGATGAGCTCCAAGAAAGGTGAAAACTGTGTTGGGCTGCAGGAGAATATCCAGCAAGACGTAATACACTGCTCATTAGGTTGCCGAAAACTGTTAGACAGCCCACGACTGGTTTTGCCCTTCTCTTCAGATAGGCGCTATCCCCTAGGTTCCGTCAAACTTATGTTCTACTTGAACTCAAATTGCACGAAATTAGCGGAATTCTCTTATTTGCGAACGACAGCTTCAGCTAGGTTCCAGGTGAGCCTCTCAAAACCGAACTTGTTTACAAATGAGTGTACATCTCTAGTATCCAGCAACCTTATGAGTAGTGTGTCCCTGCTAGATCAGTCAACACTTTCGTGGGGTGGTTCTAAATTTTCAGTTCTCTGTAGCAACTGCTCAGTCAGTAGCGGTAAATAGATGTCCATAAATCCCCCAGCAGAGTCTTGCCTTAGTCCCAAATGCAGGTGCTTCACACCACGCAAGCTGATGAAGTTTTAGGCACACACATGCATAAAGATCTTGATTAAGTTAAATAATCCCCGTTCTGCAACGACAGCTGTAGTAAAATCTATGGCCGTTCAAGAGTAATGCTTTAATGCAATCAAATTTTTTTATTTTATCGCAGTAGTTTTTGGACGAACGACTGTAGTTGGTCGGCAACACTTTAAAAATGGCTGGTCCGAGGAGAAGCACTATTAGATGCAAAAACAGAGTGAAACTCGCGCAAAAATAATCTATTACGTTTTGACCAAAAACACTGGGAGCGGATTTACGAATTGTCAATGAAGACGTTAACATATTTTGGCACCGAAGACATCTTTTCTCGTCGGATGCACTCCCTGCTGTACCTGAATATGTTAGATACCCTGCACCTGTCCCTCAGAGAAGTAACTTCATCTAGATCCCATCACCCGAAGTAAAAGCTATGAAAACCTGACCCTGTGTTCACCCACACATACCGTGTTGGTAAAGGAACCAAACACTGCACGGATCAGCTGACAAACGATGGAATATTCGACTACGAAATTGATCTTGTTTGCTCTGATACTCACCCACTAATTGTTAGTGCTCTGGACGCAGTGTAACGGTACTAGTATCGATGACTTAGCTAATGCGTTGCCATATCAAAAAGGGCGTTCGTTGAACGTGTCACCAGAACCCAATACTTAGCTTGCAGAAGACTACTGCGAGTCTGATAAAAGCAGCATGGAATCAAAGGAAAGTGGTGTCATTGGCAATTAGAAGGACCAAACGTAAAACAATGCAGTAGCGTTCATTGCCATTCAGTTCGATTGGTCACAAGCAAGTTGATTTGGGAAAACGAGTCACAGGTTGAAACATTCTTAGTAAGTTTGAAAAAATTTCAATGACTGCAACAGAGAATATGTAAATCGTTGAATGTGTTTTCGACTGTTGTCGAGTCCACTTTCTAGAGAATGTCCTGAAATACAGTGTGGTTTGGGTTGTGTCCTTTCCAAAGAGGGATTGTCGTATTTTTATCGTACTTGGACCATGACGAACCCCAAAGTGACCGTCAGTTGTCTTACTGAGTACTAATTTTTAAGAAGCAAGCTTCATTGGCTGTCGTGTTATAATTAAAACGGAACTAAACCTTATGATAAAACTGTTGATTTGGGACAAGGGCTCAAATCCCAAAAGTCCCTCGGGATTTTCTCCCCAACGCTTGTCATATCCGGTGGAATGAAGTGTACGCCAACCACAGTCGATTTCGTTTTATTTCCCAGTGCGTCATTTAGCTGCATTGTCATGTCTTGACTACCTCTTTTCAAAAGACATACTGACGTTTTTCGGGACGCATCCGCTGAACGATTAGGTGGAATAAATTTTGTCCAAAATGTTCCCACCATCCGCACACGAACCGAACGCTAGCCGCAACCTCTGGTATCCCTACGTTCCGGGCAGCATGGTTACTGCTCGACGGCTCACGTACAGGACCCTGCCATCTATCGCGTTTTTCTGAGAACGGTTAGACAATTCTAATATGGAATCTTTATTTTCTTGTTCAATCACTCAGTGTTGCCTGCTGAGGCTCTCATTTGGTCAAACAATGCAACTGAAAGTTGACTTGTATTTGCCACAATGTGTTCGACGCTCACAGTAAATGCAGTTCTACAAAACCTGAGCTTTTCGCTCACTGGCCAAAACACCCAATGGGTGTGTTCTGTTGTCAGAACCACGTAACTTTGGCTCAAAGTAACTCGTGCTAGTCTATCTACTCGATCCTATGTTTGATCACATGATCACCAGGCTAAATCGATTGAATGCTGGTAGCAGTCTTGGATGCTATAGCAACTGATATTGCACGTGTCTCGAGTCCTCCGGAATTCGTCCTTGAGTCCCAGCACGAGCTGATTTAACTCCACGAGGTCAGGCGCCTGATTTCGTGGAGCTAAATCACCCTGTACAAGCCTCTGAACTGCACCCAAACGCACAGTACAATGGGGCGACACTCGGGCGTTTCGAGACAGCCCACTGGCCTGAGACAGCTGTTAGAGCTGCCGTCTCCTGTCCCTTTGATGGGGGAACGGACAGCGACTCAACGTGCTTATCCGGATGCCCAATCAGCTTGGACGTAATTAAAGGTCTTACTCGGATCTAGGTATCTTTCCATCCGCGAATGAACCCTATCCATGATCGGCTGAATCGGCTAAGTGATTACGTGACCACACATTCAGGGACCGGATGAGAGAGTAGCACGAGTTACTTTGAACCAAAGGCGCGTGGGTAAGCGGTTTTCGCAACGGAACACGGCCATGTTCCGATAGGTGAGCGGAGTGCTCGGGTTTTGTAAAGGCATGCACGATATGGTAGGTGGATTGTGAGCACTCACCACGTTGTGGCAAGTGGTCGTCGACTGTGTTAGTCGGTGTCCCGACCGGTACGATCCGTGGCGTAGTATTGGTTGGGGGAAGGCACTCAAGCTGGCTGAACAGCGATCATTTGCCGCTCTAGACCGAACCTATACCAAGCAATCAGCACTCATTCTCCTCTATTCAACATGTTGGTATGAAACCGAAAAAGAGCAGCACTGAGAGCAGTTGTGTAGAACCGGGTGTTGAGGAACTCTTTGCATCAAGAAAATGAAATTATTGAGGAAAACCAAGCAGCTTGACACCAAAATGAAACCAATCCAACTCCACGTTCATTAGCAGGTAGAAATCTCAGTGTTGGTCTTACGCGACAGTTTCGCGCTCACACCACTTTCATCTGAACAGTCGTCCTACTGTTCTGGTGAATCCACAGCCTTTTGCAATGAATTCTACAAATCCCTCGAACACCTGCAACTAAAGTTTTAGGATCTTCTTGTATCCTCTATCGACGACTTTTTGTTCACAAAAAAATCCTTGCACCAGTGACAAGACAGGCTGTTACGAATACTTGAAGGCTGTTGGATAAAACCGTTTATCAGTCCACCTTCATAAAACTTCATTCAAAATAATGGGAATATAAATCGACGGTTCATTCCAGCAGAATTAGCATCCAATCTTTTTAACTACTGCGCGCGAGAGCTGTGCAATCAATCGACTTGATAAAAAAACTAAAATACCATGCACCAACTCTAACTTTGCCGTCAAACATGTCATTTTAGATTTGGCTTTTAGACTTCCAGTTCTGAGCTATATTTATACATTTTATATCTTCTACGTGTATGCAGACAGTGTTTTGAGTGACCGAAACGGGTGGGCTTCAGGTAAAATTTCGGTCATGAAGCCCCGTGTGACATTCGGCACCGTGATGTATTCCGGCAAAAGCTGAGCTGCCTCAACACAACAGCTTTTATCATTGTTTCCATATCTTCTAGTCTTTTGATGGCCCATCCCGCGAAACATTTCACACAATAGGATCAGTTCACATAGTGTAGAGGGTATTTCTTCCTGCATGGTATAGTTCATTGGATAAAGAACCATGTCTCTCCCTATCTACGTGTCTGCCAATGATTTTCATTCCCCGTACGGAGGCAAACGTACGAGGATAAAAGATGCAGACCTTTTTTGTCATATTGCTGACTAATGTCCATATCCAACCATATTTACTTTGTGTTCACTTGCACAAAGTAGCCTGAACATCAGGCTTCAAAGCGGCCTGAAATTGTGAACGCCAACCCAGCGAAAGTCACACTTATGTAGGTTTCTTCAAATTTCATGAAAACTTACAATACACCGCCATCTCTTCAAATAAAGAGAAGGTTCTCCTTGAGAGATTTCCGGTTGTGAAATGGTCCTGGAATTCATCAGAGATCTGATTCTGTTAGAAAAATTGTTCTTTTTTGTTACTGTTATGTGATTTTCTCTAAGACGTCGGCTATGAGGCGTTCGCAAAATTACTTAGCCTTCAAATTGGGATTTAGAACAATATTCATGTTTCAAAATCTGTTAGGTAGAATTACCTGAATATGGTTGCCCATGGCAACAGAAAAGTTGGATTATAACACCTAATTCCACCACTCTGTGTTCCTATAAAATCACTACTATGAATACAAATAGGCGTGGCAAAGCATCATGCAAGAAAGTCATTAAATAAGCCTAATCTTGGCTTCCATGAACGTGCTGGCACTCCAGCGAAAGATGAAACCTTATCATCGATGGATATTCGTAAATTCGTTAGTATCCGAAATGCTGCCATCACTATCCTTGAATAAACAAATATGTCGCTATCACTGCCCTCCACCACGCTGACTCATTGCTAGCGGGCAAAATCTCTAGTGTATGGAAAAAGAACTTATTAGGTGCTAGGCAAGTAAGACGAAGTGCTCCGGAAGAGAATACCCGCGCCCAGATTTTATCAACCCACGTGGTCACGTGAACCGTTCAAACCAGATGCGCATTGATGTGTCAGCTGCACTACACTAGCCAATTTATCCGGATGTCCAGCTGAGGCATACACACACAGAACTACATTATCCTCAGAGGTCTGTCAGGCAGTTAAGCGTCTGTCTATGTGTAGAGGCAAATTAACCTCCGGAGTTGCTGCGAATGTCCCAATGCGGTGAGTTTCCAGATGGTGTACATGGATGTGGACAAATTTGTCCTGTAGGTATACCACTTCTTGAAAATGATATGGAATCCTAAGACATCCAGCTTTCAGTGCGTTAGTTCTGGATCTTAGAAACTCCTTTTCTAAACAGCTAAACTTCTTTTCACAATTTTTTCACGTACGAAGTCCCAGAATAAGGTACCTTACCAGGTAATTCGGAAAGTTTTTCGCCTATTCCCGCGTTGTTCCGTGCAGTAGCAAAATGATGGCAAAGACCTATCTTCTGTGTTTTCCTCTTTAGTTAAGCTTGATTCCTCTAAACGAAATCACACTTATCATGCTATTCGGTCATGCACAAAGGCAAAGAGGGAAACTATTGGTTATTTCGATCTGGAGAATAAGCGTAAAAAAAGCCACATTACATACGCCCACAAGCGCCATTATCGAATCCTGACGGAAGTCATCGATACTACTGAATGCAGTAAGCGTGCTGACTGTGGACCCTTCCCCTTGACAGTTCAACATTGAGGCGATAAGATGCGCACACGAAATGGGTCGGGTTTTACGCGCAGAGTGTCCTTCAAAATTATCCATCTGTGGAAGAACCATTACCAGGTCAACCAGAATTTTTCTCGTCCCTTTTATACTACCTATTAGTAGCTTGGAATTGATGCGGAAACATCGGGGAGAGACAAACACGGCAACCCAGTCGAACCACTAGCCACTGCATTGTTATACGGGGTCGATCAACAGGGGGTCGGTTCACAGTTACACCAAATCCTAGTGAGAATAACAAGAAGGAATATACATCCATCCTTCTGTTGTTAAAAATCTCACGTCCCAGTTGGGCATACACGTGGGTAGGCTCCTGAGCTCAAGTTACTCATTCCGATTGTGGGACATTTCTGCCACAGATCACGGTAGAATGCGATTAACAAATGCTGTCATAACCGGCCACTTCGGAACCAACGTCGTTGGCATTTCCGTGAGAAAAGAATCAAAACAATTCAAGCTGTGACAGGAGAAAGTTGCTGTTTAGTAAGACATCCCATTTCATGTTCGAAGAGAAGGCGCAGGTGTTTTTGGATGAACTGACCAAAGTCATCCCGTCCTTTGGTATGCATTTTGCACCCACAAAGTGTAAGGTCATGCTTGTGGACGTGCAGTCACTGAACACGCCTCTTACAATCCAGGGAGAGGCACTGGAAGTTGTGGAGCGTTTTACGTATCTTGGAACTTGCATTAGTTCTGACTGCAGTGTGACAGATGAGGTGAATGCACGAATCTGCAAGGCTCGGTTCGCGTTTGCTAATTTGAGACACCTATGGCGTCAGAATGGTTTATCCCTGAATCTGAAGGGACGTGTGTATCAAGCTACAGTACGGGCTGTTTTATTGTATGGGTGTGAGACTTGGCCTATTCGACCAGCGGACCTGAGACGTCTTCAGGTGTTCGATCATCGTTGTCTCAGAACCATAGCTCGTGTGGGTTGATGTCGACGAATCCGTAACGAGGCAGTTAGAAAGCACGTTTTCGGTTGCGCAACGGGTACTTCCATTGAAGAATGTGTCCAGCACCAGAAGCTGCGTTGGTTGGGACGTGTTGCGTATGCAGAACCATCATTTGCCGAAGAGAGAGTGCTGTTTTCCATGCCCAACTCACAGTGACGTGAACAGAGAGGTGGCCAACCCTTGACTTGGCAGAGGAGTATGAAGGGGATCACGAAACGTTTGGGTGCTGTCGGTTCTGCTCGCCTTCCAGGATGGGGACCGCGTGGTCTTCACTGTGCCTGGTT